TAAGACACTGACATTGAGTTTTTCAATCCTGATACCATGGTCCAATTTTGTCAGAATCAGAATTAATCTGGTACCGCAGCTGAATGTAAACAAACAGGCCAGTCTGGTTCCCTCTCCTGCTTTACCTTGTATGTGTAGAGAACTGCGGTAACACTGATTATCAAAAATTCTTACGCTAATGAACTATGTTCTTTGACTTATGAAGTTTTCAAAGTCATTACTACTAATGTTTATTTTATATAGATAAAACTTCATTTTATTTTTGTTGCTTTATTTAGCGTTTGTATTATCTCAAAAGCGGTTGAGAGTAAGAACTATATTTTTGCACGTAACTTTAAAATGGCGACTATGGGGTCAACATCCTGCCTTGAACAGGATCACATAAGCCGGCAATTGCTCTTTGAGCAATAAGCCCGGCTAAAAATTAACTCGCAATTTCAAAAAACAATTCACAATATTAAAATGAAAGCTTTTTAAAAATAAACCTCCATCTATCCATCTTTTAAGAAACTTCTTTATTTTCGATATGATCATCAAACATTTCACATGCTTGTTCATTTCAAAATGAGGGATATAAGCAGTAACTAAAGAGAGGAAGACTAGAATGGGATTGAAACAGATTTTTTTCCTTGGTAAAAGTTACAATGAAAAAGTCAGCTAGCAAATTTTTGCGAGTTACAAAATTTTTAACTCAAATTTGGATATTTTAATTTGTATTTTGCAAGTTGTATATTTCAAACCCTGCAAGGCCTCTATGGTTTGCTTTAAATATAACAAGTATAAATTCCCTGTTGCTGTCCTATTATACACTAATGCTAACACTTGTTGGACTGCCTGGGTTTCTACATCATAATGAAGAAATCCTTATTTCATTGCTTAAATTCTTACACATAAAACTAAAAATCATCTTTGATGCTGCTTTTTGGCACATTAATTTTGAACCATCTTATGGGTTGATATACTTTGTCTTTGTCCCTCTTTTGGGTAGGGCAGACTTTTATTCACTAAATTTGAATCTATTTTTTGGGAGGGGGGGCTACATTTTACACACTAACTTTGAATCTTCTTTAGGTTGTTGAATGATCTCTGGTTTAGACTCCTCTTTCATTTTGACATCTTCTGAAGGCTTGTCTGCCTTTGGTAAATGTCTACCAGGGCATTTCCATTCCAGTTTTAAAACCTTCTCTTTTGCTAAAGCTTCATAAAGCTAGAAAATGATAAAATTATTATTAATACATAATTTATTGAGTTATTTATATAAAACAATTTAAACCACATGTATTTGATATTTGTAGTGACTAAAAAATTTCAAAAACTTAAGTAACTTAAGAAAGATAAAAGTTTCAGAAATCAAAACCTCAAGGGTATATGTATTGATATGAAAGTTAGACATGACATTCTATAGTTACTAGGATATTTTACTTGGTTAAATGATAAAAATAATTCTGGATGTATTTTTATAAAAATAAACCAGGCAAATAATTCTACCTGGTAGTTTATGTGTATTATACAAATAATTTAGAGAGCCTTAATTTACAATATGGCATTTTAAAGCAAAAAATAATACTTTTTTGAAATGTCACATGTATGCTCTATTTAATTATATCAGCCATTGATAAACTTGGTCGCTTTTTTCAATGCATTCTAAAGCAGTACAAATACCTTTACAATATCTTCTGGTAAAGGGCACCAGGTTCCGTTGCCCTTTTTTCCAGGGTCATATTTTTCATCATCACTGCCCTGAACTTGCCAATCATCATCACTTTTTGTGTCCATCTTAGAAGAGAAAATGGTTGCATTAAAATATCATACTGAAGCAAGCACTGCAAGCGGTTCAAAGTGCCACTTGTAACTGCAAACTCTATTGACAATGTCTGGGTGAGGAGAAAATTTGTACTACTGCACATTCTTTTCCAAAATAAATCCAGACCAATCCTATTTCCCTGGCCTACTCATAATGCTCCATAGAGTACTACTTGCAGAGCATTATGGGTAGGCCAGGGAAACAGGCTACTCTAGATCCACAATGCATCACTTTTTAAGCTATGTTCTCATGAGAATGAAAAGAAAATTTCAATGTCCACACCAGCTGTCCTAACGAGAGCGTTTTTATTACTTTTAGTCTGAAATGTGGAATGTCAGACACCTCGGCCCATTGAAATCTCAGCCCATTGACATCTCGGCCCAATGACACCTCGGCCCAGACAGGTTGGCCCAAGAATAAAGACAGGTCGGCCAATCTATATGACACCTTGGCCCAAACAGAATTTCATTGAGAAATATATCATATTTCATATTTCAGAATTTGCAAGTTTTAAAATAAAATATTTATTGAAAAAATTGGGTTCTGTAGAGTTCTCTAGGGTTCTCTGTTTAGTAGGACTGGATGATGAGGGGTTAATTACGATCGAGCGGCTAGGCTCCAAAGAATATTGTCTACAACATTTCTACAACATTGAAAGCAATCATGAAAGTTAAATAATGGTTTCAACCATTTCGTACATTAAGAAAATTCATATAGATTTATTTTTTTAATTCTCGAGCTCTCAGCATTTACATTGCACATTTCCACAGGAGAGAGATGCAAGAAATATGATTCCCTTCCTAATTTGATTTTTACTTATATACAATTTTTAGAAAAAAAATTATTGGAAAAAAGAATAATTAACTATTTAATAATGTAAATTATATTTTCCATCACCAAATTTTGATTGGGCTGAGGTGTCTTTTATATGGGTCAACGTGTCAATAGTTTTGGGCTGACCAGTCAGGTCCGAGGTGTCAACCACCAAGGGCCGAGATGTCGTTGGGCCGAGATGTCTGTCTACGGAAATGTGTATTGTAGAGGCTCCAATGGGAAAATTCAAGCATGAGGTCTTAAAAGAATCATTACTTGACAGATCCGAGGTGGTGAGTCAGTAAAATACGGGAAAATATAACCAGGTCCAGTACAATCACTAGATTTAGCTACATAGGTAGAAGTACCTACGTAGCTTTATTTACCTACCTCAGGTAGCTTTATTTAGCTATTTCAAGGTAAGTTTTCAAAAGTTTTCCTTTTATTAAAAAGAGACAAAAAGTTGCAATTAAATGACTATTGATACTTATACTATGGAGGCTTAAAAAAACAATCCAAAGCAGAGATAGTTTATACATTGCTGCGTTTGGACAATTTAAAGCAAAACATGTAATTCCATTGTTTGGTTAACTGTCCTCTCTATTGGGCGCGGTGAGGCATGACTGAGCATGATTACTTCACATTGTGCTGAACAATTACCGACCTATTATCGTGTTAACCGGAACTGGACTTCTTTGTCATTTCATTTAAGGAGTAACTGTACTAACTGTCATACATAGCCCCAAAACTTTCAGAACTTTGATTGCAATTGCACAGAAAAAGACATTTTTCCAAGAGGGATTTTTTCATGAGTTGTTTTCAGATGAGTTCAAAGTTGAAAATGATCACTGCATCAAAATGATATTTTCTGCACATCCTGAGAAAAATGCTTTTTAATAGAAATAAATCAATTTGGTAGCTAAATAAAGCTACCTCAGGTAGGTAAATTAAGCTATGTAACTAAATCAAGCTACATAGCTAAATCTAGTGATTGTACCAGACCTGATAACGAAAACAGAGGTTGAAGCAAAATGCTGTCCTCCCTTGTGTTATTTATTATTACCACAGGCGCTTATTTTTAGAGAACAGCTTACCCCAGCTGTTCTCAACACTATCATGTAAAAAGTAAAACAGTTAAATTTTTCTTTTAATCACTAATGTAAATAAAAGCACATTTCTTTTTTTTCTTTATATTGTTTTCTATTCATATAAGTTTAGGTCACGCATGCGCACCAACAAGTAATCTTCAGTACTCTGAAGTTTTGTTGGTAAACAGAAGAAGAAGCTTGTTTCATACAAGGTAGTTAATTAACCGATGCTGGAAAGTGAAGAAATTATCCCCCAACGTGCGCAAAAAATATTGCGCCGTAAATTGCACCTTTTTTGCATTGCGGGATCTGTGACGTTATGCAGGTCCAGTCCAAAGACTATTTCTACCTTCGTAGCTATTAATAGCTACCTAGGTATTTAAAGCTACCCAAGGTAGCTATTTTTACCTACTTTATATATTTTTTGCATTTTGCGGCCAAAAGACTAAACGGCACAACATGGTGAAAACCATATTTTTGGATACGGTCACATTAATGATGAATATGTCAAAATTTTGGCCAAAAAATGATTACTTCCAAAATCGTCAATTTTACATTAGTTTCTATACAAAATTGATTTTTTGGTCAAATTTTTGCAATATTCATCATCAGTGTGACTGTATCAAGAAATTTTGTGCTCATTATGTTGCGCCGTTCCTGCATTTGGCCACAAAATGCAAGTAAAGCAGAAAGTAGGTAAAAATAGCTACTTTGGGTAGCTTTAAATACCTAGGTAGCTATTAATAGCTACGTAGGTAGAAATAGTCTTTGGACTGGACCTGTTATGGTCAAAGACAAGTATCCTTATAAAACCATACCGCTACAGATCTGCAGCTAAGACAAGGATAGAGAAGAACTTATGAAGAATTCTCAAAAGGATACCCTATATGCGATTTAGCCTTTGAAATTTATCATATTACCTGGAAAGGTTGGAAACACTGTCAAAAGTAAAACAAAACAGCGCCAAATTTTAACAAGAAATAGAGATCGCGTCCTAAATGCAGAACCTATCCTGAAAATCCGGATTTTAAATTCCTCTCTTTTTGGCCACCGTAATCGAAGATTCGGGCGATGGGCCTAAATAGTTTTTTCCTGTCCATCCATCCGTCCGTCTGTTTGACCTTGACCTTGGAGTCTGATCCAGTTTTGCTGATTTTTATCCAACATTAACGCTGGCTATAAGTGGCTTAGGGCTATAGGGATTTCAACAACTTTGACATGGAATTTGGCCTACTTTAAAAAAAACATAAACCTTGGCCATAACTTTTGAACAGTAAGGGCTAGGACTTTCATACTTCGCATATGTAATCCTTGTGACTTCCTTTAGATACATACAACTTTGACCCTTTGACCTTGACATGGAGTTTGTCTTACTTTTAAAAAACTTTGCCATATCTTTTGAACAAGTGGTGTTAGGATTTTCATTTATATTTCACATGTGTATTTCTCTTGAGAAAACCTTACTTTGGGTACCAACATTTGCATTTGAGAAAATTACTTCGCTAAAAAAGTTGCCATCAGTGTTGTTTCACAAACACATCTTGTTAAACTTGTTTTTATGGGGGATATATTGAAAACTTTCAAATGCAAAGTTAATTTTCCCCTTAGTTTTTATACCATGCACTGCACTCTGACCATTTAAGGTCAAGGTCAAAAGGTCAAAGTTGTTGGTATCTCATGAAAGGTCTTGTCACAAAAGAAAAAATACGTGAAGTATGAAAATCAGGCGCGGATTCAGAAATTTTTTCCAGGGGGGGGGGGGGGGTCCATCCCAGTCAAAAAAAAAATCCAATCCCAGAAATTTCTTGACAAGCAAAAAAAAAATCTAAACTCGCCCAAACGTCAAAAACCTATTTCGTGGGGGGGGGGGGGGGGGGGGGGTGAGCTATGATTTCTATTTCCTCAAATCTTTTATTTTTCATACCAATTTCACACATATTTGCGTTTACCAGGGGGGTCAGCGTTTTCCAAGGGGGGTCCATGGTAACTTTTTTTCTGGCTTAAGTATATACATTTTTTAACCTTGTAAATGCCAGGGGGGGGTGGGGGGTCCTGACCCCCCCCCCCCACCCTCCTCTAGATCCGCGCATGAAAGTCCTAGTAACTACCATTCAAAAATTATGGCCAAAGTAAGAGTTTGGAATTTACACTGTATTTGTAAAACTGTGTCAAACTCCAAGGTCAAGGTCAAATTTAGTGTTGCCCAAAGAAAGGTCTTGTAACAAGGAATATGCATTGAAATATGAAAGGCATAGCTCCAGTAAATAAAAATTTATGGGCAAGGTTAAAGACAAACAGACAGATAGACAGACGGATGGACACGACAAAAACTATATACGTGTAATCCCGAAAACCGATTAAAATCATCCGTTGAAAATAATTACCAGAAAACAACGTACGATTGTATTCGCTTTCAAGATCAATGTATCAACCATAGAATTTGCAGCATTTACCAAACTTGATCAAAGCTGTTGATATCCTTGTTTCATCAACTTATTTATCAATAGCTTGTTTAGTATTAGAAATTGTTCGTACGTATACCATACTCTTGCGTATCGTATCAAATCAGAGACCAACCCCATACGACAGAAAATTTAAAGTCCTCAGATTTATCATAAAGTTTTGTTTAAGCTAGGTTACATTCAACGTCCTTTAAAAAATGTACCCAAATATAAAACAGATGTGTCACACTCTGTGTATATCTTTCATTTCGACTTCACACGGATATATTGAATTAATTAACATAGGATGAAAATGAATATCGTTAATTGATAAAACGTCGTCGATATACATGTATTTCGCTTTTGAATTGAATGCCACAAGTAGAAAATTCTTCTCTTCAATCAGAAACTCAAGATTTTTTTTAATATCAACTTCGGAGTACTTGTTTGTAAAAGCAAAATGTTTATATTTTCATTAACAACATAATTTTGCATATGGCCAATAACAAGGTAAGTAAATTCACAAATTCCATTTTCCATGTTTTTAACCAAAATAATTTGAGCCAATGTACCGAGTGTTTAAAAGTTTTATTCTATCTGAATAGAAACCCCAGGGGTTTAGCAGCATCTCATTAATCTAGTCTTAGTTTTTATACAATCAGCATTAGGTTTGATCAAATTTAAATGAAACATATCTTTATGTAGTCCGCATCTGTACCTGCTTAAATATACATGACCTGCATTGAGACGTGTATAAGAAATTCCTCAAAGGCAGGCCCGTATAGGAAGCAATTTCAACTACCAACAATTCCTTTAAAAACAAAAAAATGTTTATATAGTATCGGGAAAATTATTGGGGCACCCCCCCCCCGTCCTGGTTTCTACAACCATGAAAGGAGAGCGAAGTAACTGCAATTTTAAATTCATAATCGGTTTATAATGTAACGTTTTTCCGATACGGTCTAAGGGGAATAACTCTCAGTGTTTTCCATTTTTTCCAATGAATATTCTTGAAATGATACACAAGTAATCAAGTTTACGGTTTATTCACATTTTAAAATCCACAATAGCATAAAGACAGTAAGTATAAAAATCCAAATAAAAATTGTCCGAAGTGATCGTAATGAATATGAAAAACTGACTGACTCACTGTCTAAAATCCCTCCTATATTTATACATAAAACCCATTGCTCGCGAGGAGCAATGCAATGTAAACAAAAACCCATTGCTCGCGAGGAGCAATGTTATATAAACAAATCATCGTTACATAATAATTCGCTACAACCCCCCCCCCCCACTTAAGTTTTTGACTCCGTTCAAAATGATTATAAATAGACAATTAGAAATAATTTCTTGAAGTTAAACATGATGGTAAAATTTAAAGGAAATAACAAACAATTAAACGTTAGCTATATAAACAATGATTTTCTCCAAATCAGTAAATTTTTACTACACAATCCATAATAAAATCATTTTGTTGAAACGGTAAACATATTAACTTACACCTAGCAAACTTAGTCTACGTAAACAATAAATCACCTTCGGACAAACAAAGCACAAAAAAAAAATATTTACAAACATGACATTAAAACATAATAAAAATCAAAGTCAAAATAATTAAATATTATATACATAAAAGCTTGTTAATAGATCACAAGTCTTTTGTTAGAGTTCACAACTTTTTCAGTATGGCCTCCAGTTTGTTACACGGTTCACAAGGACAAATCTCCCTTTACTATCCGCACACGGGCACTCGGCGCTAGGTGTCGCGGAACCTCATCCAGAATCTCATCGGCAAGATCACGAAAGTCTACTGCCTCTGGATTCACGTTCTCTGAGTAGATAATTTGAGATTCGCGATTAATCTCCTCGGAACCGTCAGGATTAGTCCGAATCGTCTTCTTCATCACAAGGCAAATGGTTGACGTCTCGACACTTACGCGATTGTTGTTATCGTCCATGTCATACATATCACTGTCCTCTGATGACGAGTTCGCGGCTTCGCTCACGTCTGGTGACTCGAGAGATTCTTCTGTTGGTCGCGCACACGTTTCTTCCTCTTCTATGTCGCCCAGAATTTCACTAATAAAAGTGTCATTTATTTCCGGCAAGTCTTCCGAATTCACTGAGATTATGTCCAAGTCCTGATAAGAGTCTGTAACGAGTGGCTGCGCCGTCTCATGGTAATGCATCTCTTCCTCGTCGGAGGAAATGTCCTCATAAAAGTCACTCATAACGTACACCGGTTTTCGGGTCTCCATGAAACTGTGTCGTTGAATCTTCCTCTGCGGGGTATTTAAGGCTTCATTGACGAAGTCCTGGTCTAACTTATGGACGTTTTTAAGATGTCTTTTAAGATTTGATTTTCTAGTAAAGAGTTTTTGGCAACATTCACATTTAATAACATTCAAATCACTTCTATGTTGTTCGCGTTGATGCTGGTACAAGTTACTATTTGTCGAAAACACACACCCACAATATTCACAAATCATCTGGAGAATGGTCAGTCTGGTACCGAAGTGGTCTTTTTATAACTCTCCCAAGTCGTGTTGTTCTAATGACGGCTTCTGATTGGCTGTCGGCATGTGACTGTTCCGCTGTGACAGTCTCGGGTCGCGGCTCTGGCGGTAACTTCAATCGTTTGGTCATCGGTCTCTCTCTCGCAGCTGGCACGCGACGTCGCGGGGCACATGCTGTCTCGCCAGTTGTATATTCGGATTCAGGATCTGGGCGCGAATGTTTATTCCCTCTGTATGGTTTGATATTGTCGGCGTGCACTATCACAGGCTTGGAGTTTTTGGAATGTTGAATTTGATAAAGCGTATCGCTCAGTCTTTTCACAATAAACCATGGCCCTGTCCAGTTCCTTGCTAGTTTTGCTTTCGTCCCTGTAATAATTTGGCGTTGATTTCGCCTCACTTTATCTCCAATGTCATAATTCACATTACGAACATTTCTGTCATAATAATGTTTTTGTCTTTGCGATAATTTTCCTGTAACTTCTCTCGCAAGATTGTGCACAAAATATAGTTCACTTTCCAAGTTTCTCACATATTCCGAATCATTTTTCCGAACTGGTTCTTCCTCGGTTAATTCCGTAGTCATTAAATCCAAGGGTAGTGAGGGCTCTGTACCGAACATCATTCTATACGGAGATATACTCATAATAGTCGTTGTTTCATGGGGTGTACTGTTATAGGCCAGAACGATCCCGTCTATGTACTTGTCCCAGTCTGTCTGATGAGCTGAAATGTATTTCGATAACATTTCCTTTATAGTTCGGTTTAATCGCTCTACCATCCCGTCGGACTGCGGATGGTAAGCAGTTGTCCGTGTTTTGTTGATCTGAAGTCATCTGCACATTTCTTGAAATAGTTGACTTTCAAACTGTCTACCTTGATCGGAATGTATCTCTAACGGACATCCGTATCGTTTAATCCAACCTTTGAATAATGTTTCTGCCACAGTTTCAGCTTCCATATCACGTAAGGGATAAATTTCACAAAATTTAGTAAAATAATCAGCGACGACTAATATGTACAAGTATCCATTTTCTGACTTCGGAAACGGTCCTGCAATATCCGCGGCTATTCTCTGGAACCTG